GGAAAGCCACTTATTTCAGATCAGTTCAAGTTAATAAATGGTAGAGGTTGGAATTTGAACCCACGTTTCTTCCCATAGTACCATACTGCCTCCTAGTCAGAGTCTAGGCTGGAAGGGAATGTATATTACCTGGCACCCTATAAAAAAAAATCAGATCCTGAATCTTAGGCCTTGCTAACCTGATTTGGCCTCTCAGGGCACCATTTCTTCCACTTGGAGGCTGTCCAAATGACAAGAACGATCAATCACTGGGGCCAGGGAACCTGGGTTCCAATATTGCCTCTGTTACCTCTAACTCAATTTCCTCACCTTGGGTAAGTTGTTTAACCTGCCTGGGCCTCACTTATCTCATCTGTCAAATGGGAATGGGAATAACACCTACCTTATGGAGTTGTTGAAAACCTTAGGTTGCTGTGTACATAGGAACTAGCCAGTAATAGGATCAAAAAGTCATAGCTTTAAAACTAGAAGGGACCTTGGAGGTCACCAAGTCCCACCACCTCATTTTACACATGAGGAAACCAAGGCACAGAGCGGTTAAGTCAAGAAACATTTATTAAACACTTACTGTATGCCAGGCACTGGGCTTGGCCCTGGGGATGCAAAGAAAGGCCCAGAAATGGGAGCTTCCAGTCCAATGAGGAAAACAACATGCAAACTACTACCATACAGACCAGAGAGGATCAATAAAGGGCCTGGAAAGGCTTCTTGCAGAAGGTAGGATTTTAACTGAGACATGAAGGAAGCCAGGGAGGCCAGGGGACAGAGGTGAGGAGGGAGAAAATTCCAGGCATGGGGGACAGCCAGGGAAAATGCCTGGAATTGGGAGAGGGGGGTATCTTGTGTGTGGAATGGCAAGGAGGCCCGTGTCATGGAGAATGTAAAGAGGAATATGGTGTAAGAAGACTGGAAAGGTGGGGGAGGGCCGGGTTAGGAAGGACTTTAAAAGTCAAATATGAGATTTTCTATTTGATTGTAGGCATAATAGGGAGCCATGAGTGTTTATTGAGAAGAGGTGGGGGGGGGTCTGTACTGACATGTTCAGATCCAAAGAGAACCAGAACCAGAACCAGTCTCCAGATTCAGGGCTCTTTCCAGCACAAGATGCTGCTTCTCCTAGGCCTAACAGTCTGTTCAGAGCCAGCCTATCTCCTTGGGTTTAGAAATCTGTCACATTCAATTACTAATTCCTCTCCTGTTTTTTTTTTTCCCCTGTGGCCACAATTTAGCTTTGGGCCATTGGAGTGTGTTTTCTAGGGTTCATTCACAAAGGAAATAGAATATACAAAATGAGAAATGATATACCAGGAGAAGGTCATTAGACGTGCAGATAAAAGCAATCTACTCAGTTCCAGACTGAGTGGCACCTAAGCTTTCTAATCTAATCCTTAAATTAAATTCCTCAGGCTTAACATGGCCTATGTTCTTTGCAAGGCCAGAAACCCCAAGCCAGGACTCCAGGCTCCCTCATCACTCCAGATGTGAATGGTGCCTCTCTCCCTCAGCTCCCTCCAGCACTGCCGCACTGATTTGAGCATTCACCCATCTGTGCTCAGTGGACCAACCTTATTGGCTCATCTTTCCAATCAGACAGTTCAGAAACTAACCAGATGGCAATGAGGGGCTGGGGGTGTTTTACACTTCATGGCATCACGTTTCTGATCGATTCTTCCCTCAATCAAGGGAAGAAAATGACATATAACCAATATAGGTTATAGTCCCATTGTCTCAGAGAGATCAGAATCATTCAACCCGATACTTGGCTCAGCCCTGGAGTTTGAAAAACACAGCTCTGTTCTTTGAGGCTGTGTGGTAGAGTAGAAAGAAGAAGAATTTGGAGTTCCAAGACCTGGGTTTAAAACCCAGCCTTGCCACTAGCTGGGTGAGCATGGGCAAATCACTAATCTGTCTGAGTTTCAGTGTCTTGGTCTATAAAATTGCTGTTGTGAGGAAGGTCCTTTGCAAATCTTAAAGAACTATGGAAATATCAGCTTGTTTAATGTCATTACACAACCCCACTGCCATACTGCCCTCACAGTTAATGAAAACCTGGTCAAGGAGGGTCAGTTTATTGTTGTTGTTGTAGATGTTGTTTGTCCTTCTTTCTTGAAGAGGACCATGACATCAGGAAGGTGATGCCATGACTTGCAAGCAAATTGGATTTAAGTGAGGGAGGGCTGTGCAGTCACCAGGCTCATATTCTCTGGAGCCATGTGGGTCCAGTGGCAAGAGAGAGATCAGGAGGACTGGAGATAGCCCTGGATGCAGTGGGAGAGACCTTGGCAGTTTGATTGAGGCAACACCCATTCAGTGATTAAGGTTAAGTAAGAAATGAGGCAAAGAATGGCCTCTTTTACCTAGACAACAACAACAAAAATATCAGTCTGGGAGGGGAAGACCTTCAGGGTTTCTGGTGGAAAACAGAAACAGTTGCTATTCACATTCATTCTGAGCCATATGGGCTCAAACAATCACCAGGTTTGGGACCTATTATTGGCCAATCAGTGAGAGCCAGAGTGATTTGGGTTTAAGGCAGGTCCTTAAAGAAGTCTAGCCCCTAAACCCCAAGATATCTTGATCTTGATCAGAGATTAAAATTTACATTCCTTTAGGCAAAGCACCCACAGATAAAGGCTGTATATACCCTATGTGTACAGAGAGAGGAGGAAAGGAAAGGAGAGAAGAGAGGAGAGGAGAGGAAGAAAGGGGAAGAGAAGGAAGGAGCTGCATTGCCCAACCGGAACTGGCCAGTTGGGGCCCCAGTGGGGCAGTTTGTACTACTCACAGGTTGTTAGAACATGGAAATGAGCAAGAGAAGTCCCTGCTTTGTTCTCCCACTCTCCTGTCCGAGGAAAAGCACCAGCCCTTTCCCCCTTCTGACAGCAGAAAGTGAAGAAGAATTACGAAGCCTTTGGATGAAAGTGAAAGAGGAGAGTGTAAAAGCTGGCTTGAAGCTTTAACGTCAAAAAAACTAAGACCTTGACAACTGGTCCCATCACTTCCTGGCAAACAGAGGGAGAAGAAATGGAAGCAGTGTCAGATTTTATATTCTTGGTCTCAAAGATCACTGCAGACAGATACTGCAGCCATGGAATTAAAAGATGCTTGCTCCTTAGATGGAAAACTATGGCAAATCTACACAGCATACTAAAAAGCAGAGACATCACCTTGTTGACAAAATCAAAGCTATGGTTTTTCTAGTAACAATGTATGGCTGTGAGAGTTGCATTATAAGGAAATTTGAGCACGGCAGAATCAAATTGTGGTCCTGGAGAAGACTTTTGAGAGTCCCTCGGACAGCAAGAAGAACAAATCAGTCAATACTAAAAGAAATTAACTCAGGCTCTTTACTGGAAGGTCAAATACTGAAAGTGAAGCTTAAATTCTTTGGCTACAAAATGAGAAGATGGGACTCATTGGAAAAGACCCTGATGTTGGGAAAGATTGAAGGCAAAAGGAAAAAGGGACAGAAGAGGGTGAGATGGATGGATAGTGTCATGGAAACAATGAGCATGAACTTGAACAGACTTCAAGAGATAGTGGAGGACAGAAGGGCCTGGCATGCTATGGTCCAGGGGTCAGGACTGAATGACTGAATAACAACAACGTCCCTCCCAGGTCCCCAAGTCAGCACTGATCTGAGCCTACATTCCTTCCCTCCACCAGGACCTTGAGAGAAGATGCTTCTTCTTACTTTGTTTTTCTTTTAGAGCAGGAAGTATTTATAAACCTTGTTTAGTGAGAGCTTTATAGACAAGAACTCTTCTGGGTTCTCAGGTTGAAAAAATCATGACAAAGGGATGATATTATCATATCAGCTGCAATCAGTCTCTAAGAGCTGGCCCTGTCCCAGAGGCTGCCCTTCCTCATTCATTCATTCATTTATTTGATAAGCATTTATTAAGCACCTATTCCATCAAAAGTAAAGTATAAGCAAAGCTTAGAGAGATGCAGGATTCTTGGCCATTTATGGGCCAAAGACCTATGGCAAATTTCAACTACTCAGTGCTGATGGAGCTACATTGATTAGTGATAAGGACATGATCTTAGAGAGATGGCTGAACATTTCTATAATGTTCTCAGCAGACTGTCATCAATCAGTGCTGAAGCCATTGACCATTTACTTCCCGTTCAAGTCAATCTCTCCCCAGCTGAATTTCCAGCTGAAGAAGAGGTTTTGAATGCCATTAGGCTCCTGTCCTATGGCAAAGCACCTGGTGCTGGTTATATTCCAGCTGAGATTTACAAGGTGGGGGTACAAGGCAGCTCATACAAAAGCTGACTGAAATCTTCTGGGGTATATGGCAAGAGGAGGTTATCCCCCAGGAATTCAAGGATGCTGCCATCGTCCATCTCTATAAAGGTAAGGGAAATAGATTGTCCTGTGACAATCACAGAGGGGTCTCTCTGAGGTACAAAAGCATTGTACTCTTGGGATACCAGGCAAATGAAGCAGTCTCTGCCCTCATGCAGCTTCTGTCCCATTGGAGTGGGCGGAGGTTGCAATACACCCCATAGAAGGGGCAACTGATTTATATCATTAGGAACCTAGCAATCATCAACAAAAATAAACATTACAAAAATCCAAAGTAATAGGCATAATATCCACAAGGTAATTACAAAGCATTTTCACTTAGAAATCTCTGTACCTTTATCTTATTGGTTCTTCCTGCCATATAGAATTCGGTTAACACTTAGGATGTAGCCATTATCAGTCACATTATAATCCTCACTGGGAAAGCCCCAATAGGAGATAATTTCACTAATATTCATGTAATAAGGACTTTGATGGAAAGACTATTAGCTTTTCAGAGGACCTGGGATTGAATCCTACCATTGCTACTTGCTAGCTGTGTGACTTTGAACAAGTCACGTCCCCTTTCTAAGCCTCGCTTTCCTCATCTGTAAAACAAGGGCATTTGACTAGCGTAAAATCCTCCAACGAAATTATCTTTAAATTCTGTGATTCTTTGATCCCAAGATCTTTGAGAATTCCTTACCCTGGTGGTGAGTCTGGGTACAGCACGTTGATTTGGGACAGTGTCTCCATGTAGGCACCAAAGTCGAAGGCAGGAGGGAACTCCTCAATGCAGGTGGATCTCAGCTCTCCAACAGAGCCACCATAGGAGAAGCCATCTGGAGCTGGAAAAGAAGAGTTAAGCTCTCATTCCCTGCATCCAGGAAAGGGAATGGCAATGGGTTTGAGAGAGTAGTAGCAGCAGACCTTGGCTGGACAAGTCTGGTGAAGATCGTGGTGTAAAGAACATGTGTCTTGGTGTCTGGACGGGCGGGTTCAACGCCTGGCACTTACCACCCCGTGACCTTGAACAAGTTGCTTCATCAATATAAATGTCTTTCAACTATCAAAATGGGAATAACGCTATGTGCACCATCCACCTCGCAGGACTGCTATGAGGAAAGCCTTTGAGAAGCTTTAAAGCCCTACAGAAATGTGAATGGTGATGATGATGATGATGATGATGATGAAGATTAAGCAAAAGTCTGAGCTGTACAGGGTTAGGGTAGCCACACTGTTGAGGAGAAAAATTATACAACCAACTCAATTTTCTTCCTGTAGATTATTCAGTGTGAGCATTATCACTGGAGTATGTGGAGAAAGATTTATTTTTTCCCTCCATGGTTGCCTCTCTCAAAGGCTATAATGGAAATTCATCTGAATATCTATCTGCCCAGGGAAAGAAGAATTGGGGTTGTCAGCTATCATCCTAGAACTGTATTATCTGGCTTCTCTATTAGCATGGAAAATAGAGAATTTGGCTCTTCTCTTAAACTTTAGTCCTCCCCCGCCTTCCTTTGGAATCTTCTTCTTTCACCCAGGAAGGCACATACATAGGTCCTCCTGAAGGTTTTGAGGAGATCTTGAAGCATCATGACTTCTGGAAGCCTACACTGCTGTAGGTGATACGTTGGCTTCCATTTCTTTATTTGTAAAATGGTGAGAGGGAGGAAGGCAAGGGAAGGATTGTTAGGTTAGATGAAGTCTAAGGTATCTTCTAGCCTCTAAAATTAAGATTGCTTCCATCTCTGATATTATACATTCTAAGGTTCTTTCTACATCTAGCATTCGATTTTTTAAAAACATTTTATATTTTAGGTCTCTTCTACCATTGATATTATATCTCATATCCCTTCTGGCTCTATGGTTCCTAAAATCTCTGATATTCTCTGTTCTGAGGTTATTCCAGCTCTAACAGTCTGTGTTCTAAGATCTCTCAGCTTTAAAATTCCATGAATATTCTATGACTGTGCAGCACATAAACTGAGTTCCATTCGGTGACATCATGGTCTGGTGGCACCTGCATGAACAGCTCCATTATTCTTTCTCTAAACCAGTAGCCTCTGAATGCCACTGTGTTCTCTTATCTCAGTTTATTTCACTTGTATCAGTCAGGTCAATCTCTCCATGTTTCTCTGGTGGAAGACCACAACAAACATCATGTCTGTTGCTTCTTTAGCATAAGTAACAGGCCATTACATTCAGGTATCACAATTTGGTTAGCCATCCCCCAGCTGATGGGAATCCATTTTGTCTCTAGTTCTTTGCCACCATTAAACGTTTTGCTATAAAAATGCTAGTGTATATGGAGTCTTTCCCTTTGTCAATGACCTCCTTGGTGTATATACCTAGAAGTATAATCTCTGGGGCAAAGGGCATGGATGATTTATCCACATTGTTTGCATAATTCCAAACTGCTTTATAGAATGGTTGAAATAATTCACAGTTTTATCAACAGGGCACTAGTGTGGCCCACAGCTCTTGGCTCGGTGTCTCCATCTGTAGAAAGGTTGGTCTGACACCCAATAAGGGAAGTGGCTGCAGTCGGTTAAAGGAGGATTCCCATCTTGAAATAAAAGTTAAAATGAAATACTTAGCTTAGCCTAGTGAAACAGAATACAGAGTCAGGGACAGTGGGATCTTGAACCACAGAATCTCAAGGATGGAAGGGACCTTTAAGATGATCTAGTCCAACGTCTTCATTTGATGGATGAGAAAATGAGGGGACTCAGGGGATAGAGACAGGTCAGGCAGAGACTCCTGAGCTCTACTGAGTTTCTAAGCTAACCCACTATCCTGCTCTACTCATCCCCTGTGGAGCACCAGCGCTTTTGTTTTAGGGATAGCTAGCCAAATGGATCAAAAACTAATTTACTAATGCACTGAGTCGGCTGTACAGAAGGTCAGGGCCTCCAAAGGTGAGGCAGAGAATCAAGAGTGGAGCAAATCTGTCTCCCTGAGCTGCTGACTCACCTAGGATCATGCCACAATGCCAAGGGCCTCCTCCCTCTGCCTTCCTGGCAGCAAGAGACTTCTTTGTGCCTTGAGGCATTGCAAAGAGTGACTCATATTAATAATGGTAATAATAACTCCCAATTATGTGGGACTTCAAAGCAATTTAGGCCCATCATCTCATATTAGCTATATAACCAGGAGTAGGTCACTTAGGGCCAATGGGACAGAGCAGGTGGCAGAGAGAATACACAATACTAGACCTGGAGTCAGGAAGAGTTGAATTCAACTCCTGCTTCATACACCACCTAGTTGTGTGACCCTGGGCAAGTTATTCTCTATCAACTTCAGTTTCCCTATCTCTAAAATGGGGAAAATAATCATTCCCAGGGGTATTGTGATGACCAAATGAGATAACATATATAAAGAGTTTTTTAAATCACCATATAAACATGAATTACAATTATTAATAACCTTTCTGAGTCTCAATTTCCCCACATGTAAAATTATTATTATAATACTTGTCCTACCTAATAAAACATGAGAAAAGCCCTTGGTAAACCTTATAGTACTATAGACATGGTAATTATTATTATTATTATTATTAATGCTCATGACACACTATGAGGTAGGTAGTACAGATATCAACTCTGTTTTACATATGAGGAAACTAAGGCTCAGAAAGATTCATGGGATCACAGAATCATAGATTTAGAGCTGGAAGGGACCATAGAGGCCATTGAATCTAAATCAATCAAAGCTGAGAAAGGTTAAGTGATTTTCCAAAGAAACAGAACTAGAAAGTCTGAGGCAGTATTTGAACTCAAGTCTCCCTGACTCCACTGATCCACCTAGCTACCTCCAAGTTAAGTGGCTTGCCCATGGACACATTACTACTAAATGTCACAAAGAAGACCTAAACCCAGGCTCTTTCTTACTCAAGTACCAGTCTTCCTCAGTCCTTTTGCCCTGCCTCTTCCCTGGAAGCAACCCCCATCAAAGAGAGTGTAAATCCCTCCATAGCCATCATAACCTTGTTGGGCTGCTGGGTTGTATATTATCTGTAGGAACATTTCCCAATCTGTCTCTTTCCCCTGTTCCCTCAAGCCTCAGGGTAAGTTTTTTTTTTACAGTCTTTTTTATCTTGTACACGTCCTCATTTTTCCACTCGATCCAAATTGTCTCTGCCAGGGCAGGCAATCTGATATGGCACATGCCAACTTATCTCCCCGACACCATAATGTCCTGCCTCTTCTCTGGATATCTAAACCCTTGTACTCGCACAGCTTAGTGAATGTGAATGATTACAGATCAGAGCACGTTTTAAAGCTGAGGGAGACCTGAAGACCATCGAATCCAATCTTCCTATTTGACAGATGATGAAATTGAGGCTTAGAGATGGGGTCATGGTCAAGGTCATTCAATGACTTGGTGGCAGAACTGGGACTCAAGCCCAGGTGTCCTGCCAGGATTCCAACTGGAAATGAATCAAATTTATTTAAATAAATATCTATAAAGTGCCTTACTGTGCACAAGGAAACTGGGGTTGGTCTTGGGGATGCAAAGATGCAAAACAACACTCCTTTCCCTCAAAGAGCTTTCAATTTACCAAGAGGGGATAGAGGCCATGTATACATAGAAATAAGATACAAGATAGCATCTGATAGGGACAAAGTAGAGATTCAGGCAAAATGAGCTGGGAAAACCTGAGGAGGGAGAGTACTTCCAACTGAAGTAATAAAAAAAAGTCTTCATTGAAGACGTGACCACCCTTTGAAGGAGGAGATGGATACAGAGAGGCGAGTTGAGCTGAGGACATTCTAGGCATGAGGGGTGGCTTCTACGAATGCACAGAGGTGGGTGACGGAACGTCAAGTTGCAAGAACAGTCAGTTCCAGTGATCCAGTAGTCCAGGTGAGTTGGAATGGAGAGCATATAAAGGGGGAATAATGTGAACAAGGGGGGAAATGCTATTTGGAGCCAGGTGGTGGAAGGCCTTTAATTTTAGGATAAGGAGCAATATTTATGCACCAAATATGTTCTGTTGGTGATACAATTGTCTTTCTAATGTACCATTATGATTAGGCCACTCTTCTATTCCAAACTTAAGGTAGCTTTCCACTGCTGTTGTTCAGCCTTCATTCTCAAAGAGGACCAATGACATCAGGAGGGTGATGTCTCGACTTGACAAGTGAATTGGATTTAAGTGAGGCAGAGCTATGCAAAGTCATCAACCTCAGTCTCTCCTCCAGAGTCATCTGGGTGCAGAGTCATGCAAGTGCCATCTTGCAGTTGGCAAAACACAGGTCAGGACGACTGGAGACAGCCCCAAACACAGTGGGAGAATTTGGCCTTTTTAAGCTAATGTCTTTACCAGGTCACAGTTTGTCTGAGGCCATTCAGTGATTTAAGGCTAGGTAAGAAGTGAGGCAAAAGATGGTCTAGTTTGCTTACTTAAAAAAAAAAATCAGCCTGGGAGGGGAAAAGACCCTCAGGGTTTCTGGCCAGAACAGAAACAATTGCTATTTACCCTCACTCTGAGCAACCAAAACCCAAACAATGACCAAGTGAGGTTTGGACTGGAATCTGTTATTGGCCAGTCAGTGAGAGGCAGAGCGTTTTCAGTTTAAAGGCATAGTCAAGTAGCTCCATTTGAATCCGAGCAGGCTTTGTCAAAGCCTGGTTTTCCAAAGCTCTATTTCAAAAAATCATAAATGAAATTACATGAGACAAAAGAATTAATTGCCCTAGTTTTTTTTTAAATGATAGAATAAATATTTAGGGAAGAGAAAAAAAAGACAAAAGAGAAATAAATCTAGCCCCCACGCTCCAAGATGTCTTGCAAGGTTTAGGTGAATTGGCAGAGGATCCACATGTATAGATATGTATTAGGGTATGATTCCCCATGTGGACAGATGGACAGAGAAGGAAAGAAAGAAGGAAGGAATGAAGAAGGAAAGAAGAAGGGAGGGAGGGAGAGAGGAAGGAAGGACTCTTCACTGTTGAATAAAGGAGAAACTTGCAATTCTGCCATTCCAAAGTCTCTACATTTACACAGTAATCTACAAGTCCAGTCTCTTCTCAAGTATTCTCCATGAGGTCTCTGTTCCAGCTCAGCCTTACACCTCTGGTTTTCCTCTTGCCCCATCCCATCTCTTTGCTTTTGCTCAGGCCATTCCTCATGCCTAGAATGTTCTTCTTCCAGGAAGCCTTCTTGGAAACCTCCACACCAGCCTTCAACCCTGCCTCCCCACCCTCCTCCCACAAGAAGAAAGTGAGCTCTCTCTCTCTCTCAAATATCTTGTAGCACTTAGCAGGGAACTCAACTTTGGAGGTATCTCTCTGTCTCTTGTACCATATATACTCGTGTAGTTCTTCTTTGTTCCATCAGATTGTAAACATCTTGAGAACAGGCTTGTACTACATGAACCACTATTTCCCTAGTGTTAGGCACAGGTCTTTAGACATGGTAGGTACTTAAAAATATCAATTCAGTTCAATATCAATATCAGTTCAAATATTGAACTGAACTGAGCCATATGTCTGAAAGATTCTCTTCATGTAGATAAAGACTAGGAACCCCAAAGTGACCACAGCAATGAAGAACAGCTCACTATATAACAACAGTTATAATAAGTTTCTTTAAAGGTCATGGGACCATACTTTAGAACTGGAAAGGATGTCAGAAGCCACCTAATCTAACACCCTCATTCTACATGTAAGTTGGAGGGAATAAGCACCTACTATGTGCCAGGCACAGTGCTAAGCATTTTTTTTTTAAAAGATGTGATCTCATTTTATCCTCATAACAACCCTGGAATACATAAGGATGCAGAAGCCCAGAAAAGTTCAGTGAGTTGCTCAAGGTCACATAGGTAGTAAATGACAGGTAGGATTTGAACGCAGGTCTTCTTGCTCCAAACCCAAATTTTTCATGTACCATGAAGCCTTCTGTAGATACTTATAATTTGTATTACTCATTATTTTTAGTAGAAGTAAGTTATTATGCTTTTGTCAGGGTGAATACAACATGGATCCTCTTGACAAACCAACTTTCTGGTATGAAAGGCTATTTCTGAAGTTAATATTCAACACATGTTACAAAGAGCTTTAATTTCTAAAGGGACAGACTCTTACTTAAATAATGGACTTTCTTCAAAGGAGCATAAATGGAAATGCAAGGAATAAACATGTTATTTATTCTTCCCCATTTCACAGCTGACAAAACTGAGGGAGAAAGAGGTTAAATGACTTGCCCAGGATCACACAGCTAGATTTGAAGTCAGGTCTTCTTAACTCCAGACCCCAGTGTGCTATTCACTGAGTTACCTAGCTGCTTCTAAGTGCTAAAAAAGTTGGTAAAGTACTATGGGGCATTCAGAGAGGGAGCAATAACTTTCCACCAGAGAAAATCAAGGAAGGCTTCATGGAAGAAGTGGCACCAGAGCCTTAAAGAATAGGTAGGGTTTCAATTGGCACTTGTCTTTAGCTGTCACATTTGAATGAACATATGTAGATAGTGTAGTGGACAGAGTCCTGGGCCTGAAAGGCCTCAGAGACTTACTAGCTGTGTGACCCTGGGCAAATCACTTAACCACTGTCTGCCTCAGTCTCCCCAATTGTAAAATGGGATTAATAAGAGTATCTACCTCCCAGGGTTATTGTAAGGATCAAATGAGATAATATTTATAAAAGCACTTAGCATAGTGCATGGTACACAGTAGGTTCTTAGCAAATGCTTATTTCCTTCCTTCTTGCTATCCACAAGGGATGGAATGTATCCCAGGGGAGCAGCAAGAATCAATGACTCAATATATTGTTTTTCCATGTTTTTGGCAGGGACATAATAAGTCACACTGGAACTTTGAGGGATACTGTTTGGGGGTGCTCTGGACATAAATGGAAGCCTCTTTCACCAATTGCCCCAATGACTTATGACTTGAAGAGAAGGACAGCAGAATGATTGGAAGCATGGTCAGAAGATCTGGGTTTAAGTCCCAGATCTATCATTTGGGCAAGTCACATTACCCCTCTAAAGCCTCAGTTTCCCTATCTGTTTGAGGAGGTCATTACTGTAGACTAGGAGTCTCATGGTGGCCAGCAACACTCCCAAGAGCGGACACTACTGCTCTAGATCACTGAAATGCCTTCCAATTCTAACATTCTACATTCTGTCCTAACATTCTATGTTCTCAAGTCCCTTCCAGCTCTAATTTTTGGATGCCATTTATTGGTTACTGGAGTAACTGACTTCAACCTCTGGCTGCTCTGCCTTTGAGCCCTTGGGGCCAAGTGAGGACTTCTGATGCTCTGGCCATCCAGGGACCCAGACTGATCTAGAGGGGAGGGGTCACTTCTCTCTTACCATAGGTGGGGTCCCTCCTCAGGTGTGGGTGGTTCCGGAGTCGCCCATCCTTCCTCAGGCTGCCCACAATGATGGTCACACAGGACAGAAATAGCACCAGGCCGATGACCACCCCAGCCACCAGCAGAGGGGACACCAGCAGGCTGGGGTCACCAGTGCTCTCTGTGAAGACTGGGTACTTGTTGACGGGGCCGCTCTGATTGGAGTGAATTTCTGTTGGCAAGGATGATGAGGAGAAAAAAAGACATATGAGCACAGCTGGTAGACAGGGGAGTCAATTCTACCTTAGCAATGCCTCATGAATCCATCATTTCTTTATTCTCAGGGCCATAACCCTAATTCTAGCCCTCATCATCCCTCAACTGAACCATAATAACAGCTTATATTTCTTCAGCATTTTAAGGTTTACAAAGTGGCTTCACCATAATAACCATGAAAAATAGCACAATTGCTATTATATCCATTTCAAAGAAGAGAAATCTGAGGATAAGAGGTCAAATGACTTGCCTATGGCTACATAGCTGGTATTGGAAGAATAAGGTAAGAGGGGTCTGCTAGATGGAGCACTGGCCTGAAGGCAGGAGGACCTGAGTTCAAATCTGGCCTTAAACACATACTAGCTGTATGATCCTGGGCAAGTCATTTAATCCTGTTTGCCTCAGTTTCCTCATCTATAAAATGAGCTGGAGAAGGAAATGGCAAATCACTCCAGTACCTTTGCTGAGAAAACCCCAAATGGGGTCACAAAGAGTCGGACATGACTGAAAAACAACAACAGCAAATGTAAAATTGCTAAGGGTAAAGTTGATTGAGTTAAATCCATCAGGTAAGCCCAACCCACTGAAAATGATAAGGTGTCTATGGTCATAGAGCTTGATGAGGTGAGAACAAATGTCATTTGACCAATCACTCAAAGACTTGAGATTAAGTGTGAAATTCCTTGGATGTACTAGAGTGATATTACTAGGAAGAGCATTCTGATTGGCTGAGGAAACTTGGTTCTGCTCTGTGGGTCATCTCTAAAGTTGAAGGCCAATTCAGAATCCAAGTGAGAGGCAAGAAATAAGACACCATTTTAGATAACTCCCTGGGAAGCTGCTTGGGATGGGGAAGCAAGGACTTTGGCCTGGCCTTGGTTTGACTGTGGAGGAGGACCTTGTAAGTTTTAAAGGGTCAAGAGATCTTGAACTTCCTTCACTCCCATTAGTATTCTAGCACAGTCCCTGGGATAGCAACTGATGGAGGTGAAGTCTGCATTGGGAGCCAAGGACAGATTGATTGATCCTGACTGACTAATTGAAAACCAACCCCTAATCATGGTGGGAAGTATACTGGTGGGCTCTGGTGAACTCTACAGTACTGTACAGATGACCTCTAACCCCCAGAGGCCTGAGGGGACATACTAGCCACACCCTGGGGACCTGACTAGTCAGTCAAATAGAAGATGGGGTAGGAGCTCCGGAGCACAAACTTCGTGATTAATATTGCACCTGCTATAGCTTCCCTTTTAAACTGTAAGCTCTGTGAGAATTGTGTGTTATTCCTCTCTGTATTTCCTCCTGTGGCTATCTAACAGAAATCCTGGTGCACAAGAGGCTTTAGTAAAAAAAAAAAAAAAAGATTTGTTGAATTGAATGTGGGGCCTCAGTTCCTAGAGGATTTCCAAGGCTGCCTCTGCTTTCTGACTCATAGTCCAGATTGCCTTCCTGAGTTATTTGACCCTGTCCTGAGAGGCATCTGTTTGACTAAGGCCCAGTCAATCTTTTGTGGCTTATCAAATGACATGTTGGGGCAAGACGTAGCCATCAGGTTCTGGGACCCTCAGCATCTGCTGACATTCTGGGCCCATTTTTCCCTTCCCCATTGGCTGTGGGGCTAGAGAGGACTAGGGGTTGAATGAAGCAAGTGAAAAAGAAAGTCAAGCAATGTCAAGGTACACTTATACCAGGCTATTAAGCACCTCTAGCCACCAATCACAGTGGTAAGAGAAATAAGATAAAGAAGGATTCATGGAAGTCACAGAATGTTAGAACTGGAACTGTTAGACCTAGAAGGGGTGTCAGAATGGAAAATGTTAGAACACAGAATATAGAACATCTGGATGTGTTATTCACCGTGACCCCCTTTCCAGATCCCTTTTCTGTGCTGGTCTTCCTCCATTAGAATGTAAGGGCAGAGATTATCTTGTTTGCCTGTGTTTGTCTTCCCATCATCACTGATACCTGATACGTAGTATTTAATCAATGTTTATCTCTCTGTCTCAGTCTCCCTCTTCCTCTCCTTTTCTCACTTCCTCCCTTTCCTTCTCTCCCTCTCCTTTTCCCTCTCCCCTTTCTTTTCTTCTCTCTCTCCTTCTCTTCTTCTCCTTTTCCCTTTCCCTCCCTTTCCTTCTCTCTCCTTCTGTCCCTCATCATCTCTTCCCCTCCCTTTCCTTCTCTCTTCTTCTCTCTCTCTTCCTTTCCCCCTTCCCTTTTTCTCTCTCAGCTATGGAACATAAAATAGCGAAGCTGGAATGGCCTTCAAGACATAGAAGTGATCACTTAGTCCAGTCTCCTCATTTACACAGTCTCTGATCTTAAAAGGGCTTATAATCTCCTGGGGAAATAAGATATTAGCAAATAACTAAGATACAAAGAAATGAGATAAGTGCAAGGAAGAGATTTTGTCGTTCAGTTGTGTCTGATTCTTCATGACCCCATTTGAGGTTTTCTTGGCAGAGATACTGGAGTGGTTTGCAATTTTCCTTCCCCAGTTCATTTTACAGATGAGGAAACTGAGGCAAACAGGATTAGGTGACTTGCCCAGGGTCACACAGCTAGGAAGTGTCTGAGGCCAGATCTGAACTCAGGAAGATGAGTCTTCCTGATTCCAAGACAAGTGCTCTATCCACTGTACCACCTAGCTGCCCAAGGGAGAGCTACAGTGAAATCTTCCTAGTTTGGGCAATTTAGGTGGCATCTGAGTTGGGCTTTCAAGGATAATGATAGTAATAGCTAACATTCATACAGCTCTTTAAAGTTTATAACACACTTTATAAATATTATCTTATCTTTAAAACAACCCTGGAAGTTAGGTGTTATTATTATCCTCATTATACAGATGGTGAAACTGAGTCAGATAGAAAGTAAGTGACTTGCTCAAGATCACCCAACTAGTAAGACTCTGAGGCGAGATTTGAATTCGTGTCTTTCTGACTAAAAGTGTGGTACTCTGTTCTCTACACTACTCTGCTGCTGTAGGTTCTCAACAGGTAGAAAGGCTGCTTGTGTGTGTCTGTGCGTGTGTGTGTGTGTGTGTGTGTGTGTGTGTGTGTGTGTGTGGAGGGGCTTGGCAGAGGGGTGGGAGAAGGGTAGGGAAAGTTAGCATCCGAGGCATACTGAATACTATGGGCAACCCCAGGATGGACAGGGATGATAGGACCGTGGGAGCACAGACCTAGAGCTGGAAGGATTGTAAATGCCCTCTTGTTCAAATCTCTCATTTTATAGATGAGGAAACTGAGGCACATAGGACATAAATGATCTGTCTGAGATCACTCAGTTAGGAAGTCATTGCTGCTTCCTAGAGCTTTGATGAGCATGGCTGGCAGGTAAAGTGTGCAGGGTAGGGGGAAGTTGGTTGGAAAATTTTTGGAAAGGTCCATTGGAGGTGGCCCAGGGAAGCGCCAGAATAGCCAGTTAAGGAGGCTGGTCTTCCTTTCCCAGACAAGAGGGTGTCTATAGAGGTTTTTTGAGCAAAGACAATAAGAGTGAGTAGATGGGAGCAGGGACAGAGAATACCAATTTAGGAAGCTGAATACAGTATCTCAATTTTATACAGCACTTTACTGTTTAGGGGGAAAGGGAACAAGCATTTATTAAGGACCTACTATGTGCGAGGCATTGTGCTAAGCACTTTTACGAATGTGATCTCATCTGATCCTGACAACAACCTTGGGAGGGAGGTGCTATGATTATCCCCATTTTAAAGTTGAGGAAACTGAGGCTTAAATGACTTGCCCAGGGTCACCCCACTAGTAAGCATCTGAAGCTGGATTTGAACTCAAATCTCCCTGATGCCAGGCTCAGTCTCTATCACCTAGCTCATTGCAAAGTCCTTTCCTCCTAAGTACCCTGTGAAATAAGTAGTGCTAATATCATTATTCCCATTATATAGGGGAGTACACTGATGCTCAGGGAAGGAAAATTATTTTCTCAGGGTCACAAAGAAAGCACACAGGTCACAGTTAGGATAGACTTGAGGGGGGAAAGATGGGTTAGGAGGCCATTATAACATTCCAGGTAAGAGGTTCTTCCCCCCATCTCTTTCTGTCTCTCCCTCTCTTAGTCTCTACCTCTCTCACTCTGTCTCCCCCCCATCTCCCCCCATTTCTTCCACTCTCTCCTCTCCCCCTTCCTCTTTCCCTCCCTCCCCACCCTCCTCCTCTGCCTCACTTTGTCTCTCTGTCTCAGACTTGGGATTAAGGAGACCCACAGCCCTTTTTCCTTTGGAGGGAGAGAAGCTTTGTCGATGCAAATGGGATGAAGGTCCTGAGATTCCCTTTCGCCCAAGTGGCCATGTGGGAGAACATTTCTAGGCTTTCTGAGACAGCTTGCATGCCTTGTTTACTAACAAGGACCGCCAGATTGGAAAGTTGCCCTAAGTCGCTCTGATAGGCTAGGAAGAGGAGTAATTACTGAAGCCCTCCTGGTAACCTGGCTGTGATTGGGGACAGAGTAGGAAGGAGAGCCGTTCATCCAGAGGCAAAGCCTTCCTTGTGCTCGCTGTGGGTTGGCCAGCCAGACGAATCTGCCCAGGCACTTCCACCCATTCTCCTGGGCCCACTGGGGAGCCAGGGAAGGAAAAGGTGACCTCATTACCGGGACCACTTAGCATCTGAAACTCATCCAAGATCCTACCCTTGGTCCTCCTGCTAAATCCTGAATCCCTGCAGGCCACAGCACTTCTCACTTTCTGAATGAATCACAGAATTAGCCGTTAGAGATGAAAGGAATTTGAGAAGGTTGAGTATTAGAGCTTGACGCCAGGGACCTTACAATATAGAATGTTAGACCACAGAACATCAAAGCCAGAAAGGACCTTAGGACATTGGAAGTTAGAGTTCTTGCAATTTGGGTTAGGGATTAGGACTGGTTGGGGTTTTTAGAGATCATCTAATGTAACCCCATCATTCTACACAGAGGAAACTCAGACCAGAGCTGTCTCTCCCATAC